CAGGGACACCTGGACAGGTCTCTAGTCCATCACAGGGACACCTGGACAGGTCTCCAGTCCATCACAGGGACACCTGGACAGGTCTCTAGTCCATCACAGGGACACCTGGACAGGTCTCCAGTCCATCACAGGGACACCTGGACAGGTCTCTAGTCCATCACAGGGACACCTGGACAGGTCTCCAGTCCATCACAGGGACACATAGAGACAAATGAGACAAACAACCATTCAATCTCACTCACACCTAGGGACAATTTAGAGTTACCAATCAGTCTAACATGCATGTTTTTGGTCTGTGGGAGGAAACTGGAGCACCCGGAGAAAACCCACGCATGCACGGAGAGAACATGCAAACTTCAACCAGAAAGGCTCCTGGACTGTGATTTGAACCAGGACAACCTTCTTGCTGAGAAGTGGTACCTCTACCAACTGTGCCACCGTGCCGCAGATTTGCCACCTACTCTGACCCCCCCGCTTTCATTCAACCTTTATTTCTACAGGTTAGTCTCATTGAGTCACGAGGACTCATTTACAAGAGAGACCTGATTAGAGTAAATTGACAAGCCGGCATGTGATTATATATATATATATATATGTATATATATATATATATATATATATATATATACTCCTGTATGTCTACAAATCACTGAACAGTGCCCCCCATCTCTCTGATTTGCTACAACCGTATGTCCCACCACGCTCACTGAGGTCAGCGGACCAGTTGCTCCTCACAGTTCCAGGAACTCGTCTTAAGCGCAGAGGTGACAGGGCCTTCTCTGTAGCAGGACCAAGACTCTGGAACGAGTTACCTCTGCTTGTCAGACAGACCCCTCCCTCTCAGTTTTCAAGTCCCGTTTAAAAACTCACTACTATTCAGCAGCTTTCAACACCAGATGATCTGTGTTTTGATCCTGTATGCTCCACACTGGTTTGTCGTCATTATCTGCATCGTTTTTATGTCTATATTCTGATTTACCTCATTTTGTATTTTGCTTTGTGTGTTACCTGTTGTTCTGTCTGTACAGAACTTTGGTTGGCCTTGTCGCTGTTTTAAGTGCTTTATAAATAAAATGGTATGGTATGGTATATCAATATAGTCTCATTTTATATCACGTTTTAAATCATCTCAATATTTTTAAAATATCGATATATCGCCCAGCACTACTTCAAACTCTTCGACTCCAACTCACTCGATTGTAACCTCAAACTACTCCAACT